GTAGACAGAAAATTACTTTGCAAACAGTTGAAGTCAAAGTAGTTTTTTTGTGCTGATTTGTTGTTTCTGATTTTTGCTGACACAATCGTTTTGTCTTTATTAATGGAAGTAGTAAAGTGAAGAATCAGCTGTTTGAAAAAAATGAATTTACATACAGAACATGTGTTTTACTTTTAAGTAAAAATACAAAAACCTGGTTGAATATAGAGACCTGCTTCACCTTTTTGCTTTAAGTTATTAGTGGGATATGTAGTCTGGATTTTTATTGTTAAATTTATTAGTCAATAAAGCAATATTTATAAGGTGGTAGGTTAATCTGTCATTTATCTTGAGAAAAAAAATCACTTTTTCAAACTTGTTTGAATAAAACATTTAGCTCAAACTGTAATATGTTAAACACAAGGCTGCAAAAGGATTGACAAACTAACACTGGTTAAACATTGTAAGTTAGTGAAACAAAATGAATAATTGTTTGGGTTTTGAGTAATTTACACTTTTTTTGTCAACTGCAGGAAAAAAAAACAGTGGTACCGACTCTGAGGCAGAAAAAAACATATTGATTTTTAAATATTTGAGTTGTAGACTGAATGCATTTGTTTGTTGCCCAGCTTTAAGGACACGATTTGTTTTGCTGCTCAGAGGCACAACGTTGAAAGCTGTTTATTGAAATTTAAGATAATCTGCTGATTTGTCAGGCAAGGTTAAAGCAGACTGACTGTATTTCTGTCTGTTTGGTTATAGAGAGAGGTAAGCAACGTCTTGTTGTGCATTCGTGTGTGTTTGGGTTAGTGCGTAGTTTGCTGCAGTCTGCACTGCCTCCCAGTCAAAGCTGAGCAGCCTTGCTGACAGCAGCACTTCTGTGGAATCACAACTAACCTGGACGTCACTTTCTATACACTCTGTCCTACTCGTCAAACCATCAGAACAATTCTGGGACGTAATGTGAGAATACCGCAGAATATATTTCCACTCCCTCCTACATTTCAGTAAATGTAGCAGAATCCTTCTTTTTATTACTTAATTTGGTGCAGCAAACAAACCTTAAAGATGCTTTTTATTGTTTTAGTCAGCTGATTTAATTTCACTGATACTCAGCAGTTCAGACACGTAGCTGAGTGAAACCAATACGTCTGGCCTAAATTTTTAATGTATTTTTATATACAATGACATTTTATACTAGGGTCAGTTATGCAACATAAAAAAATGTGACCTTTATTGGTGTGGTCTAAAATTAGGAGAAAATATGAAAGCCTGAGTGTTTTACTAAAATACCATACCGGTGTCATAAAAGTTGGATGAAATGTAACATATAATATTGTATATTTAACTGAACCTTTTGAATATTATGTCAATATTAAACGGTAATTGTGGAAGAGTGATAAAATGGAAATTGCTATTTTTAATTTATTACAAGTCACTAGAAAACAAAATACAATTATTTTCAATAACTCAAGAGAAATTAAACAGTTTAAATTAAATTTGAAACAAACGTTCTTTGCCATATGGGTGAATTTTATCAAAACTAATTAAGCGTTTACTTGGTTCACTATCAGAGCTTTTACAATCTCGCTGTCAATAAACAGCTTGCAAAGGTGTGACCCTTATCCAGATCTTATCTGTCTGTAGTCCTGCTCGTAGCTGCTGAGTAATCTGACTAGCTTCTGAAAGGAGGCTTTTTGTTTGCCCACTAATGCTCCTTTGACACATTTGCACAGTGTGAAGTTTTAGGTCAAAGGCTAAAGACAGGTCAAGAAAACTTTAAACTTCTGCATCTAAAAGAGTTGCTCTAATCCGGTATTTTAAAARGAATGAATAGTTTTGATGCTAATGTTGTTCTTCTATGTGTTCTGTTTGGTAGGTTTTGCACTTTGCATTTTCTCTAAATAAATATTAGAAAGTTTAAATCTGTGGATAAATCACATGCACAAGAATTCTCATGTTGTAGGATTTTGCTGAATTTGTTTGGGCAAACCTTCCTCAACCACATTCTTTCTTTTCTCCATTAAAGCTCTTCCGTTTTTTAGCATTGTATAATTTTTAACAAATACAGTTTGCTAAAAGTTAAATGTTAATTAAGTGCTAGTTTCAAATGGTAGAATGATACAGTTGGTAAGCCTAAATGGATACTGGTTTTGTTTAGACCTTGACGACTCTGCAGGACGTCCTGTTCTCTCTGGTATTTGTGGTACAGAGTATCTTTGATGCTTTGACAGCTCTGRCTGATAAAGGCAACTGATCAAATCTGTTTTTCTTTTTCTTAAATACTAGTGATTTTATTAGTCCTTCATAGTTCTCTTGAATGGAAAGAAAAATCTCTTTGGGTCCTTTAAACTCTGTTTTATAACTATAATGGTGCAACTGGTGTTAGCTTTGCTGCTTCAGGATGTAGAAAAGGGCAGAAACACCTCACTCCTCCACATTTTAACTCCACATCTCACGGGGTTAATGCTGTAAGATTAGAAAGTATTTCTCCAGCTAAGGGCCCATGGCAATTATGTAACATCCTGAGGGGTCCTTTCTAAGATTTATTGTTAGAGATGCAGCCCCTGCCGAGTACAACTCTGCTTCAGCGCCTTCTGTCAGATGTTATCAGCACGTTGAAGGGACAGATGCTGCTGCACAGAGCCTGTCAGCTGTGTTCCTGTTGAAAGCACAGTCCGCCGTCTTCAATAGGGCTGTGTATTGGCAAGAATTTGGCGATACAATACATATGACAGAGGGGTCACGATACGTTATATCCCGATATATTGCGATACTATAAGCAAGGCGATATATCGCGATATATTGTGATTTTTTTTTTTGTCCAAAAATTCTATTAAATAAAAACCTCTTACAGGGGAAAAATGAAAAACCAAAATTCATTGTCTCAGAAAATTCTAATATTACAGAGACATGCTTTTGATTTAGCTGTGTTCTGATTTGTATTTATTTTTATTTTATGTTTCATATTTCTTATTTCATCCATGTTTTCAATTATCAGACCAAATTTGACAATAAATAGTTTGAAAATATACAGTATTTTTTGCAGCTTTTAGTTTTTAATATTAATTTACAATATGGTCACCCAACACTTAACAATAGCCTCTACCTCAAGAGGTAGAAGAGCCAAATGGCTGGCTCACTGCTGCCAACTAGTCGTCAGAGGCTGAACTACAACATAAAAATGAATGGCTGGCAGGAAAGTTGACATTTTAAACCTTAATAAAAAAATCGATACAGGGCTTTAGAATATCGATACAGTATCAGGAAATGAAATATCGCGATATTTCAGTGTATCTATTTTTTACACCCCTAGTCTTCAACGGGAAAAAGAAGGATGATTTGGTCATCTGATGTAAACTTCACTGATGTGTTCATTCGGTCAAACAGTTAATATATTTCAGCATCTGTTTACATTCCCTCACTCTTTTATTTTATTTTATTTTATTTTATTTGGGTGTATGTTTGTGGCCTGAGACTTTGTCACATGCATGGCATAATGAAGCAAACAGAATGCCAAAAGGGAAGTGAAGCAGTTGATAGGACAGTGTTACTACGATTAGGTGAAGGATGTGAGATCAAACAAGTTCAACATGAAGGACAAAAAAAATTGTTTGCGAAGCGTCTCAGGTTAAAAAAAACAAACAAAAAGCTAAGCAAACAATATGGATAGAAGGCAGCAAGTCTAAAACAAGAAAGAAGTGAAGAGATGGCAAACAAATAATATAAAGGTCATTATTGTTTCCAGTTTTCCATTAATTATTCAGTCTTAAGGGCTCGGCACACGGGCAGCGACAAACTACAGCGATTGACGGCTGTCATCGCAGCCAGGGTGAAACCCGACACACGGGACGCGATAGCGATCGCAGCATTGCGAATCGCGCTCTCAGGTCGCTTGTCTTCACAAAATTTGATTGGTTCTTGACTCTGAAGGTGGGTGTGCATTACGGACGTGTAAACTAAACAAATCTTGCGATGCTAATGATATTGAAAAACAAACACACATTAAGATACAYTTTTATGAGGAAAAACTTACCATAAACTTCACCCTGGTGCCAATAAATTCCCACAAAGTTTTTTAGTAATCACTTGGTGAAAGTGTTAGCTAACGGCAGTGTGTAGCATACTCTCCTCTCATTGGTCAGTCAATGAAACCCTCGCTGATTGGTTGTACGCTAAGCGACAGCGACAAAAGTTGAACATTTTTCAACTTTCATATGTCGCGTCGCAAGCTCGAGTGTGCACGTGTACGAGCGCAAAATTTCACATGCATTATTTTCGCCGGTTGCTTAGCTGGAGGAGGGCAAGCGATTGTCGCCTCACCGCACAGGCTCCATAGGAAATGAATGGAGAGCGAGCGACGTCGCCTCCCGTGTGTCGAGCCCTTTAATCGATTTACCTGAGTACTTCTCCCTACATTGGAAGCGTGTGTTGCAGAGCCCTACACATGTGCACACACAGACATTTGCGTAACGTCAGCAGTCATTTCTCTAATAAGCTGACTTTGACCACCTTAGCCGCACGCAGACGCACACTGATGCAGCCGTGGCTGTGATACGAATGACTAAATGTTGTGAGGGAGTGTTATGTAATTCTGGAGTCCTGGAATGGTTTTCGGTGAACGTGTTTGCAAATTTGGCATCAGGAAGCACACGCACACACACGTCCTTCCTTTTCTTCCTTTTGAAGGAACGTAAAAGAACAAATGCAACATGACATCATGAAATCAGCAGCCAAAATAAAAATCTGCCCACCCAAAGTGGCGCCACTGTCAAACTTTGTGTGATTGTTTTTTGGCACAACTAATAATCAGTGAGAGCATAATTAATTATATTGACTTGGATTTGTTAATAAAACCTGCTTTGAAAACTCTTTACTTTTATGGTAATGATTAAAGTTTAACCCTTTTTTTTTTTTTTAGCAGTTTTGGGTCTAAATTTATGATACTGTAATTTTTGAAGGCAGGCCAGGCATACGTAATGTTCTTACCAGGTTGTCCTTTCTCCTCTTTGACTCTGCAGCTCCCACGTCTCCCCTATATCCATCCTGCCTGCTGATTCTGCTGAGTAAGTCAACTTTTTATGTACACACTCTTACACACACCGCAGCTTTACAAATGAGTGCGCTCAGTTTCCCAATGACTGGTTATGATAAAGAAGAACAAGCTAAAAATCCTGTAAACCTGTGTGATTTTAAAGTATAATGTAGGAGGCAGTAAAAGACCATCTGCTTAAAAGATAAAATAAAAGAAACCAAAGAGAACACTCCTGAAGAAAAAAATAGAGGAGATGAGAGGAGAGCAGGAGAGTTGTCCTTGTGTTTTAAAATACAAAGCTGAACTGCAGATTTTTGCACGGTTTGTTGCTTTTACAGCCTCAGGGACATGAACTCAGCGATTACATGACTGGCAGGCCTCCGCTTCTTCACTGCGTGACARCGAAACACAATAGAAACTATATTTTGTGAAACTTTCTAAACTGGAGCAATAATGACAGAGAATCTACTAAAAGCTGGAGAAAACGAGAGAGGGAAACTGTATGATCAAAAGCMTTCTGTGTGCGAGTGGTTTGTTACCTTTTATAGACCATATCTATCCGCCCGTCCCCTTCAGTGTTATTATTTATCTTTTTTTCACCTGAACCAGGATTTTGTCCTAATAAGGACTTTGTGCCTTCTGAAAATAAAACCATTTATGAGTTGACTTATATTAAAATCTTATATTAGAGCTGTTAATCACTGTATCAACCTGATTGGCAAGTTTATTGTCAGACTCAGCATCAATAAATCAATAAATCTGTCTGATTTATTCAGCTCTTTGTAGGAGTTGTGATTGTCAGAGGTTCCTGTAAGGACACCCACTTTTCATCTCAGAGAGGAAGGATCAACATGAATCAACATTGTGCCCCAAAATAAACCTCAGCAAACAATTTAATATCCCTCAGATGATGAACACGTATCATGTTGAGATGATTCAGCATTTTAACACAACAAAGAGCTTAGATCAGTAAGTCTTGTGAGAGGAAAAAAAGACCTTAAGCCTTAAGTAAACTGAGCTGTCATCCATGRAAAGATTGTCTCAGTGTCTCACAATGAAGTTTACTTTTGTGATATTTTCTGTAGCTGTAGCCTACAGCATAGCTTTTTGTTCAGAACAAATGGGTGAATATTAGTATTGTTACAAAAAGCCAGTTTTGTGCTCTGACCTTGTTTTACAGGGTATTTAATTTTTATTTGCAATGTGAAGAAACATGCTCCGATTAAGTAGAAATATGTTTTTTATTTTGAATTAGTCTGTAACAAATTTAGAAATACACCTTTTAAGTTTTCTAATCCTAGGTTTATTCAAATGATTTTGTGTTTTAGTATTTGTTTTCTGAAACGATAAATAAAAAAATGGACACTTCCTGTGGTCAACTATGAATGATGTTTTTATTAAAATAAATGCATTTTGTCTTTCAGGATAATTCAGAGAACCATCAGGGCTGCAGTGGAGCAGCACTTCTTTGAGCTGAAAACCTCCATCAACCAGGATCTCAGTAGTTATGGTGYCCAAGGGTAGGAAACAGAAATGTGCACAGACGAACACTTGTAGGCACTAAACTGAATATCTTATCATCTTTATTCTTCTGCTTGCTGATACGTTACTCAGATTCCTCCAATAAAAGTGACATTGAATAGTTTCAAATAAACTAAAGTAAAAGTAATCATGTGGAGAAAAGTGATGCCAGTAAGGAAACCACAAGTTGAAACAGTTGCTCAGAATCACTCAACTGTCAGTAAAAAATAAAATAAAATAAAAAATATGCAATAATTGAACATTTTCCATGTCTTTTTGTTTTTTAAAGGGTGAGTCCGTCTGAGGCTGAAGAGCAGGTTTGCCATGGAGACGTGGAGCAACACGTTGAACCAGAGGACAGCCCCTGTGACACAGAAAGGGAGACCCCGCCTGAACGGACTGAACAGGAGTTTCAACAAAGTCAGCCAAACCCACAGGTCTGTAGCAACCGCAAACACTATTCATCACACACACACGCGGTCTGGTACAACTATCTTTATGGGGACCTGGCATTGACTTCCWTTAGTTTCTACAGCCTAACCCTGACGGCCAACCCTAAGGCTAACCTCACAGGCATGTAACTGACAATAACATTAACCTAAACTCAATTCACARCTTAGCCCTAAACTTAAACCCCGACAAACCAACAGCGTTTCCCCTCATGGAAACTAGATTCAGGTCCCCATAAGTAGGTGTGTATCAATGTTATAATAGTTTTGGATTTTTCTGTATAGTTGAGTTTTATTTTTTTGTGACTTTTTTCTTCTAATTTAGTTAGTCTTAATTAGTTTTTACTGTGGATTTGCTAGTTTTTATTAGTTATTATTGCATTTTTTACAACACACTTGCTTTTATTTTTCTTACTTGTATATTCAAAGAAATCCCAAAGTGGACGTTGCTGCTTTCTCCCAGCTTTTGCTGTCATCATTTGGCAGACCATGCTGAGCAGCAGCAGACTGTAAACAAGTGTTGTTACGGACCACAGCTAATGTGAAACTACTCGATTTGAAAAAATAAAATAAAAAGATCCACATGGCTCAAAATAAATTGACTAACCCAAAAACTAAGGATATTCTGTCAATAATTTCAGTTAGTTTTAGTTAGTTTTGTAAAAAATTTATACAGTTTTAGTT